ATGTTTGCATTACAGAAATTCTGTCAATATGATGCAAGCGACACTTAATTATTGCACCATTTGTAGGTCCCACAGTTAATTCAAATGTACTTGCACAAATTAACGCCGTATGCTGGGAAAATAGTCTTCAGCAGTTACCAGAGGGTTGGACGTATTCATCACGCTGTAGTAACCAGTGACCTAGTTGATTTCTAGGATGGAGTTCCCTTCAACCTAGTTGACATTTCCAATGGGGTGTGCACGTGTCACCACTTCCATGATTACCAATTGCCTTGTTCACATATCCTGTAAACCTACTCTGTGGGATTGCTCACTGGGGGTAAGATCAGTCCATCTAGTTCACATGCATTTACAATACAGCCGAAGATGGTCGACGGAAAACAACTTTGATGTTTGCATGAAAACAACAGAGTGAGTTCCACAAGAATGTGCTGAAGCTAATTAATGACCTTTATTTTTTTACTTAAACGATTTTGTACTGTACCATTTTTAATGTACTTATTCTCACTTGATTGTAAATACATACATTCCTATTGACTCAGTGTATTTCTTTTATTTATCATATCGAAAATGCAACATTTTTAATGAGAATTCTAGGTGATGTAGTAATCCTCTCTTACAATGCTGTCAGAGTCGTAAGCCATTATTAGTCCTTAGGTGCGTGCAACATATCAGTTACATTTTATCCGACTGCGCATAGTAAAAGTATGCGTTAATGTCAGGAAAAAATAGCGTCAAACATGTGTTTGCATTGTAATAACGAAATAAAGTTACCCTTTTGTAAAGTACTATCAATGTCGTAGACCGTTGTTAGTCCTTATGTGCGTGTAAAATTTAAATTTTACTAAATTCGACTGCGTAAAAGATTGCCTTTCATCAGGGCTACCGGAAAATTACACGTTGAGCTTATGTTTGTTATGCGATCACTACATATGCATAATAACAAATGTAGGACGAATACGTACATTGAAAATGACGTATTATAGACATACACTATTAAAGATAATTATATATATTTCCTATCTATGTAGGACACACCAGTTGTACAGGCATGGATAAGTATTATTTACATTACATAAATTTGATTCATGGTGAAATTACATGGTCTCTGTCCTTTCTGACATTAGTTTGTGAGTACAATCTGATAACTAGTCATTCAATGGAGCACATCAAGAAATATAGAAATATTGTCTTCGCATTAACAAAAAAACCCAAGCATGTGTCGGATAAATTACAAATTTTTAGGAAAAAATAAAGCTTGCAGTCAATTCCTCCATATTGCTTTGTTGTGTGCGGCATCGCATCTTCTTCTTGATTTATATCCAATTTGGATATTAATTTAAAATGAGTGATTTATTTGTATGATTTTGACCTCATTTTTATTGCAAGTAACACGGAAAGTGAATTGTACTGAATGCAGATTAATATTGGTTATTGTCACACAGATTTGTTTTACTGCATCCACGTCAGCCAGAGCCCGCCATTTGTCACTGCATGGTTGGTCATTAAGATTAAGTTGATTAACACGTAGAAATCTATGTGTAAGCGATTGTAGATCATTGACAGTGCTTGTATAGAATCCTGTACAGCGTCTTATTATCATGACAGTGGATTGCATCAAGGATGCTGAGTCATTACTAGCCAAATCTTGAAGGATGATATATGAGTAAGTGACTTCTTTGGAAGTTAATCATTACGCATTCCGAAAGTAGCTATATCACTATTCCTTCGCCAAGCAAAACGAAGTCGTATTGCAAGAATACCGTTAAAACTTTTAAAAAATATTTACTTTAATAAACGATTTCATAATATCACAACGATTCCAACGTTAACACGAAAATTCTTCAATTACAATTCATCAAAGCTTCCAAATCAAGTGAACCATTGCAATTGTAACCTGAAAACCAACAACAGTGATACTTCTGTTAGCAAATAATTGCCATTACAAAATTGCTAAAAAGCAAAGGACATCCAAGTAAAAACTTTGTTTCTTCATTGTTATGTTACGAATAAATCAACTAACACTCCTTTATAGCTGTAAACTGTTCTGACTATTACCAAGTTTTCATATATCAGAGATTCAAAACACCACTTCAGAATTTCGCAATATATACTTCAATTACCTAATTTATTTCGTTTTTCTTAACGTAATCAACAATTTACACAGAATTTTAACATTCCACATGCAAAGAAACAACGAAATTCGATGACATATACATGTTCACTGAAACTGCTGAAAGCGTCTACTTTCCACCATTTTTCTAAGTTTTTTCGTTAATATATGGTATTTATAATGTATTCCAGTTGAAAAGACACCTGAAAACAACGTAAAACAACCCAAACACAACATCGCGATAACACCTAACTACACCCGGTGTGTGTCGCTATCCACTGCCGACAAAAACAAATTACATATAACGAATCACGCTAAAATGGAACACAAAGGCTGAACGTACCGCGCTTTAAAATGGCCTGTAGGTAGCAAGGCTATGGTGGGGGGCTGGATAGAAAATTTTGGTCTTCCATCGATTAGCACTATCGAAAGAGGTGCTTAGTTTTACAGCCACCTTTGTCAACAACTTATGGAAATACTTCAACGGTTACTGTCATTCTTACTGCTGCGGATCTATGCATAATACACACTGTGAACTCATTTTGATGTTCTTTCTCTGCAAGTAACCTGCATTCTGTCTTGGTAATCATAAATATTTTCTTGTTCTATGATGTTTTCAGCGGTTTTTGAAACCGAAGACCCACAAAATGTACATTACTATGGATATTTAAGTAAACAAACACAGTCTTCCGATTGGTTGTTTCTCACTTAAAGTTAATCTTTCATCTATTTGTGACTGTTTCTTGAATGTCAAATCCTCTATATGTTAACTGCATCCGCCTACGCAAAGTCTGCTGTGGTCGGTTTTGAATCAATCTTTGTTCACATTTTCTCACGACAAATCTTGGGAACGTAAATATTGAGTACCACATCTCTGGTTTGCTTGACTGGAACACTACTTTGCTGCCAGTAAGCTATTTTTTCAGAATGGTAAATTTGGCATTTTTGGTGATATCCTGTCCGACAAAGTTGTTCAGCAAGTACATCAACATACTGCTTATTGCAGAACCGAATCTCCCTGCAATAAACTGGAAGGGCTGCTCTCCACGTCTGTCCACGATATACAAGCACTATACCGTTTGCTAAGTAGTGTTGTTGTGGGTGATGTAGTGTCTTCCTCAACTAATGCGATGCATGCGGAGTCTTGTAGCAGTCAGGGAATTCGATAAATGACTCCTTTATCTCATCTGGCTCAGGCGATTACCAGTAACACATTCAACAAGTCCTTGCTTTTGGAGATGATGACATAAATTCCCATTAGCTCATCAAAATAGCCGATTGCGTATTCAAGAGATCAACACCTCACACCGTCTCTTGCACTGAAAAAATGCTTGTTAGAATCACTAACCACACGGTCGACCTCTTCCAGGAGTTCACCTGAGTGAAGTAGCTCCTGGACACCTGGCTTGTGAAGAGATTGCGGTAATATTTGTTGGTACCACCTAACTTTGGAAGCAATGCATGACGATGCTGTCTTCCTCGTAATTTCCTGATTGAAGCAAAGAATGTATCGGATTTGTGACGATCGCTACCGTTGGCACCAAGCAATTCAATGGTCGCTTTTTATTTAACAGATCAAAATACTGGTGCTACATTCTTGGTCGGCATAGGATTAGAAGTGATAGTTCTCCTCTGTCTACGCATGAGCGTTAGCACCCTGAACCAACAGTTTCACTTCAGGCTGGTAGCAAGTGCAGTAATCTGGCGATTTGTGACTAACAGTAGAACCCGGGATGCGCTCTTCTCTCTGTTTGAGACTCGTCACTTGGATGTAACTCAATGGGAATGTCACCACTCACAGGGGATTGCAGGTACATCCAGGTGACGAGTTCCAGATACGACGAAACGCGCATCTTGGACCTCACTGCCAGCCACCACTCCTTTAAATTCTCTCGGGTTAATTCCTGAGACATCACCAAAGCATCCTCACAAGGAGCCTATATGTCAACACACTCCGGTCACTTTGGTTCAATCAATCAGCGGTTAAGTCCCAAATGAATTAAATTGTTACGTATGGATGTAAACATATGACCTCTCCAGAAACCCTAAGTTGGTCACCCACCGATTTTGTTGTTCAATCACCAATCATGGGCCATGATTTCTTACGACGCCACAAATTACCGGTAGACCCGACAAGTCCCAAATTGATCGACTCACTCAATAAGGCGTACATCGTTGGTGCAGTCAGCTGTGCAGCATCTGTGAGCACGACGGTCACACGCACACAGAGAGTTAGTGAATCGGTCTTCTTGTCTCTTTCAAACTTCTTTTGGGGAAACAGAACTGAAGTCTAACGTTAGTCTCATCAATTTACAGCATAATATATCTGACTTCGGCTAATACATTCACATCTTCATGTTCTACAATGTGTTAAACTCTGCATACGAACAGATACCAACAGCGCTGCTTCAAAAAGCAAAGGTGGAAACTTCAGAAAAATTACTGTTGACATAATCGAACTTTGAAGTACGTGAAACAAAAGCCAGCGAGCGTAACCACTCAAAGCATACACAAAACAATTGATGATCAATGTTCAATCACACGATAGTTTATGTTCGGTAAGCCTACGTAAAATTAGTTTCGATGAATATATATTATAGGTGCATGAGTTAGTTTATCAAGCCTTCAGTCATAGTTATTATAGGGGCAGTACGGTTTCACCACTGGTATTTTATTTGAACGTAGTATATAACACTAAGAGTGATACTGGAGAACTGTAGCTAACATGTAGACCATTCAGAGTTCACGAATAATAAAGAGATGTATTTCTTAACAAATGTTAGAAGTCAGAAAGTCTTCGAGACAAAGCCAAAATTCTAATCTGATTCTGATTCTATTGTACATCTAAGTTGCGTTACATCATAGCGCCTGGTGCGACTAAAAAATTATGGCGGGAGGTGAGCAATATTCCGATTTCACTGGTTTTTACTGTGTAAAACCGCTACTGACTTTTCTCATAACAGTTATTTATAAGAAAACTTGCGTAGTATTTTCCAGATGATTGACATGTGGATTAATGAAAATCACAGGTGTGCTGTTTTCTGGACACTGTTATCAGGGGGTTACTTCAAACATCAGTTTGAAGGAAGTTAAAGTGATAATTTTCCAGGTATAGAAACTAGAAAGCATGCACTTTACAATTCGCATCAAATTAATTTTTAGTTGCTGCTCATAGTTTAGCACATAAGACAAGTTTGATGATCTCTATAAAACCGCCTAACTAACATTGGTCTGTAAATGTCTCACGAGTGTCGAGAAATTCTGTGGTTAGTCTTTTGGTATGTTACTGGCATTTTGCGCTGCAAAGGGAAATTAGCTGAGGTGTATTCGTGTGTGCGTCTACCGGGGAAAGTCTGGGGATATACGGTAGCTTATTATTATTTTTATTTTATTGGCAACAGTAAAGAATAGCTATAGTCATTGTGTTTTTGATATTAAAACATCTAACTGAGTCTTGTAACGAAAATTATGAACGCCATCCATGTGTAATGCTTAGCCATCTTATTGGTTGATTCAGGGTCATTCGATTTTGGTGTTTATTCTTTACTGTTGCCTTATTGTTATTATTAATCATCAGGACACTTCTGTAAATTGCACTTGTGTGCATACCAGCTGATGATGTTTAAAAAAACGAGAAGTGCCGTAATGCAGTTTTATGAACGAGTAATCCCAGTAAACAAATGAGAGATTTAATCCTAATGGAAAAACTTGCGGAGGATATGAGTATAGGAGACAGAAGAAAGATTGATCCACCTTTTAAAACATGTTTAGATTCCTACTTTAAATTGGTCAGAGTACACTAGTGGCTACTAAGTGGTAACTAGCACATATTATCGGGTATAAAGTCAGGTTTTGTCATTATGATGGTGATATTAATCCTAAAGATTTAGTATTGTATTCTCTCTGCCTTGGAAACGCGGTTGATATGACACCTAATGGTAAAGACACCCACAAAATACCGACACAGTTTTTGGTATACCTTAAGCGAAGATTTCATTACATTTGGCGATTGCTTCATTCTTGTCAATCATAAGGTAATGCCACAGGGCAGATCTTCATTTTAAGGATGGAGTGAAGCGTGTTGAGTGTATTGATGACCTAAACCATTTAAGAAGTTGCATAAGGTGGGGAAAGTCACTGAAACTGCCCATCAGGAGTTGTGGGTTTTTTAACATGTTTTTGTTCAGTTGTCCGCATCAGGTTGTGTAACATATGTATATATATTGTACGTACAATTAAGTTAGGTTGGTAAATGTCGTTGAATTTATAAGATGTGGTTTATTAAGGAAGTTATAAAGCACGTCATCTATGCTAAACCGGGGGTCCTCAGGATGTAAAGAATCAAATTGTTTCAGACCTCCCTACGTGGCTGGAATCAACATTCAAAAACTTCATAGATCGATACCATGTTTTATTCTTACCACCTTCCAATCTTTTCAGTCCTCATTTCACTTCAGTTAATATTACTCATCACTTCACTTAGTGTAGCTGCATAAAATTGTGGATGAGTATGCCGTCATTCCTGGTCTAAGTCCCGCCTAGTTTTCGCGGGTTTGTTTTTCCCGAGAGCCGCCTAGGTTCTGCTGAGTGGCAGGTGAATCAACCCAGTGTTTGCACAGAAGTGCATTAGTTCAACTTGCCGTACTTAGCGAAGGAAAGCAAGACAATACTACGATGTATGAACATTAGTGTAATGGAGAGAATGTTTAAATGAAGAAAAGTGACACGATTTAGAAGGCGGTATGAGATGAATGCGCATCTACTTCTCTGTCATCATCTGAAAGATAGATAGTCCATATCTCCCTATGTGGCTTGAACTAAAAGTTATTTACTTTATAGACTGATCCCATTTTATTCATTTTACACTTTTAAACCTAATTATACTAATATTACTCGTCGTCTCATTCAATGTAGCTGCCTAAAACCAGAACAAACAATCTATGAAAGAAAAAGTTATTGCTTTTGCTGATATTTTGCTCTTTAATGCAGTTAATTTTATCTAAATAATAGTAAAAAATCTCAGTGTATATATGATTACTAAATGAAAGTACTTCTGTATGAAGTAATTTTGCACTGTCAGCTGAGTACGTTAATAAAGATAACGGATATGTGTAAATTGTCGAGCCTTTTGATAATTGTATAAACTAAAAAACGTGTCCATGTAAAGTAAATGCTTGTCGCATGTGTGTTGACGATGTCAGTTTGCAGAAGATTGTTGGTTCAGGTAGTATTCCGTCTGAATCCCTCATTTTTGTTCAAAAAGTGCGGGTTCCATTGTATATCAGATCCCACTGCCGTTAGACGTTCTTTATGACTTTTAAAACTAAATAGCGATACGTTAGCAAAAACATGTAATGGTATTGGGCATCATATACACAATACCCAGAGTTTTTTCAAACCATGAAGTGTAGTCATTTTGGACAGCTATAACCTACTCATTTTATATCTGTTCTGCTATTTTGTGTGCGTTGTCAAAGTGTGAAAAGTTGTACTTTGTTCAAATTACTCAGTCAGAAAGTCTTACTGCATTCGCCTGAGTCAAGCAGGACGGTGTAGATTGCCTCTTAGGATGATAAAAATATGAAGCCACTGACTCTTGCTAATGATATATATATATAGTGTCGACAGAACTCGACTGCCATTCATTTGGCATTTCTGAGGTCTAGCACCATAAAGAGAGGCAAATGACATAAAACTTAGCACAGGTAAATGCCTGACCCTGTTGTCACAGCATATCGACGTTTAAGTTTAGAGGAAAAGTAGTGAGGATAATGTCAACAGTTATAATGATCTATAAATTAGGAGAGGAAGAGAGTGGAACACATCTGTGTGGTATTTCACTTTAGTTGGAAAAATACAACTGTAACTACGCTGTTGACATATTTTGAGTTTAAGGTACTTGTTCTTATTTAGTAGTGGTTTTGTCGAGGTATACGTAATTACAGACTAAGAAAACTCGAACCAGTAATGCATTGGTAATTCAAAGTATATTCCTCAATACCCTTGTATGAATTAGTGCAAGGGATCTTGGTTCACTTCTCGAAATGCGATCACTCTTTTATTATCCCTGCCAAAAACGTTTGCTTCACGGTCTTCATATCACAAAAGTTAGAGATGAATATGAATGTCCATCGGTAAAATCGCTAACAATGGGACCTTGAAAAGTCGTAATTCCGAATTACTGGATCCCATTATCCAAAAGGGAACTGGTTTCAAACATTTGCAGCCATAATAATGCATCTGCTGACGTCCTTTGGCTTCCTGACATCATGAATAAAGCTTCGGAAGTGGTTTCCTAAGAAAGCCATCTGCGTCGATTAACCTGTTTGGAATCCTGTTCTGTGTTTACCATTTTGGGCCACCAAATGTTTTTCTCTGAGAAGGCTATTTTTTAAGAAACCTCATGTATTGTCCAAGCTTGTGATTTACAGCTTGTGCAACATGATGTGACCCGAATATTAAAGAGTATCGTTAGTGATGCATGCTGCATTTAAGCCTCATACATGGTCCCAATAAACTGTTTTGAATAATATCTCTATGTCAGCTTAAAAATCACTTTAGATGCGTGCATATGTGACGACTCTGGTATCAACGCATTACCTAGCTAATGTGAATGCCCTCAATAAGCACTAAGATTGACGCTCTATAACCCGACATGGTAGGTGAATTTAAACAGAAAGGCAGCCGACAAGCAGAACATTGTCTTCTCGTCACTTCTGATCACCATAATTACAGCACACAAAATTAATCCTAGTATCAGTCTGGTGATCTTAATCAGATAAACACTGTATGCCTTATAGTGCAACTGTGGACTTGAGTGTACAGGTCGGGTTCCTAGTTTTGATATAGTATCGTTTAGGCAGTGTATTTGTATGGCATGTAATGAAATATATAATGGAATATCAGTTCGGCATATATCATATATCAATTCCATGTCTAAAGTAAATCCCGGCATAGTTATCACTAGGTAGCATTTCCATGTCCTGTCCCATCTATTTTAAATGTCCTGACAATTTTGCATATATACACAAGGCATGTGATGAGTAATCCTTCACCAAGTTACTGAGTTATAGGATATCGGATTTGCTATCGCGTATTTATGAATGTAATGTTTATCTTCATCTGGGTTCTTAATTCCAGCGTCTGTCCATATTTCTGGGCCGGGTCCCCCCAGTCATGCTTCTCCAACCAAACTGGCTCTCCCTAGCACCTCCCGCAACCAATTACGTGAGATTGAATCTCGTAAAGAGAAGAAAATCGGACATCGACGTGTCACAGAAGAGGGTACCGTTACGTATAAAAAGGTGAGCTATTTTAAAATCACTGTTCTGTTCCCTATCCTTAATATTTTATCATCAGCACCACAAAATAATTAACTTTTAAGTATGAGCAAAATGGAAGTAATTTTGGAGTTAGAAGGGTGTAGTTAAATTTCCACTTAATCGCTAATGTCAATGTACTCCACCTTTGTTCATTCACACTTATGAAAGCAATTCTTTTGATCTTAACAATACTGCTTTGGTAAATAAGTCAACTAAGTACTCTTTTCACGAGATTAGCATATTGATTACAGTTTTATAAAGCTAAATGGAAGTCAAAGTTGCGACTATTTAGATGTGATTTTCTATTTGCGATGTTAAAACTAGGAGTGGTATAGGTGATGGTTTTAAATTAAGAAAATGGTGAAGGCAGTCATAAGTCAGTGACAATAAGCAGCAATAAAATTGAAGAGAGGGAATAAAGGTGAAGGTAGTTTTATGTTATTGGAAGTTCGCGGATGAGTGGTACATCCTTGTCAGCCTAACATCATGGAGGTTCTACTTCAGCAGCATATTAAATGAAAGAAATAGTTGGGATATAGTAGATGCTTGATTAGGTGACGCTTTTTTTCTTATTGATTCTCTAAGTACCCACTATACTTAGGTGCCTGGATCTCCATGCAACTAATTGAATTTCTGATGCTTTTGTGTATAAAGACAAGTTCTTTAAAGTAGAAGAAAAGTCAGTAAAGCTTACAGTAGGCAATTGTTAGTTTTTACAAACATTATGACGCTATAGTAACGTGTTTTATTCTTAGAAGAAAACCTAGGGTTAGTGTAATTGTGATTTCTTTCTGTTGTAATTGTTTGTTGTTTATTGCACGAAATGAGCTAATGAGCATACTTTGTTTTCATTATCACATGTTATCTGAACTGTTTTACTAATTTATATAATCGTATAAGCAATTCAACATATGGTTTTTATGTTTTAAAAAGTGAGGCAAATTTTCAAATAATTTTTCATTATTCTATTGAATTTTATTGTTAGAAACCAACATCAGAACTTCAAGGAGCTATTCAACTTGGTATACAACATCATATTGGTTCACTGCAACAAAAACCAGATCGAGATCTCTTGTATGGAGATTTTAATATTATCGACACAGTGAATTTTCCTCATGAAGGCACTAAAACTACTCAAGCACATCCTTATTCCGATTTCCGATTTCGAATTTATGCACCTGTGGCGTTTCGGTGTTTCCGGAAGTCCTATAAATTAGACATCCGTGATTTTCTGGTAAGTCGTTTAGTGTTAACTTACTACAGAAAACGAGACCGTTTACCTACGGAGCTTTTCACCTTTTCTTTAGGAATGAACTTTTCTGTTCACGTTTTTTCTTAAAGAATAATGGCGCAAACGGTTTACATTTTATTAGTAAATTAGATTTTCCAATTTAGATGATTTTGCTTCACGGTGTAAATTACTATAATGTCGAACATCGGAATTTACCAGTTCTACTTCGGATTTACTCATGAGTGAAAAAATTTCAGGCTTTATCCTTGAATGAATTGTTATCATTATTGCTTAGAATTTGTTGTAAGTTGTAGGGGTGTATGGTTAGTGAATTTCATCACTTGGGAATTCAGTCTTTCGAACCTTTCAGTAGATCTAGAGTACTTAGACGGTGTAGTTTTATTTGTTAAAGTTGTTTATCGAATAAAGTCTTCAGTGAATGTTTTGAACGGAAACTGAAAGTTCTTATTAAATTCTTCACATAATATAATTCGTGCAAAGTTTCCTGCCTATACGCCTGTCTGTTTAAAAATATCACCTAGTTATCTAACATATATCACGATATAAAGTTATGATTTTTATGATTAATTGTTTATTTCCATGATACATTGTTTATTGATGCTAGCCATTCACATTTGTCGTAGGGTTGATTTCGTAACTTAATTTTTCCGTCTCTACATTATTCGTCTAAGTTTTATACATAAATTCAGTTTCACTTCATATTTGTTATTTCGCCAATAATTTTTGTCAATCAAATTATTTAAAATATCCACTTTTTATGATGGTGGCTATAGAATTAATCGAAGTGAACCAATTAGAACTCATAGCATGCGAAGGCTCTTCCTTTTTAATCACCTATCCTGATGAATTCTTCGTGGTTTTGGGTGTTGGAAATTTCCTTTTATTCTTTTTCGTTCCGAGGCTTCAAGCCGCAACTTTGAAGTTTCAGTAGCAGTGGTGTTTATTTTTCACAGGGTGGGGTTGATAACCTCACTCTCAACCTTGCCTCTGTATTGGGCTCACTACCAAGTTAGCCACTAAGAAGTGCGTTGGCCGGGGATTGAATCTCCAACCGCGTACGTGGTTAGACAGTATTCTCCCATTAAGCCGCTGAAAATATTGGAACCGTAGATTGGGACTTTATTCTCAACATAATCCGTGTTAATGCCCTAGGTTTAGGTCACACCTAGTCATTTAGAAAGACGCAATGTAAAAATGTCTACTGAATGACATTACTCAAACTTAATTACGAAGTTGCTATTTTATAACAGTTTAGTTGTGAAACAATTATCATGAATACTGTAAGGTTATTAGTCTGTTTAAGAACATTAGCCTACCTTCATTTATCACCTGTTATATCAATTAATAAAGTTTGTCAGTTCAAGGCTATGCCAGCTTCAGTGAGAAGTGAAGTAGAACACTTCCATCTGTATACAGTATATTACTCATTAAAAAATGCGAATTTAATTTATGCCGTCGAAGAACATGGAGTATGACATCATCCAGTTTTTGGATAATGTCCTTTGACAGGGAGATAAGTACAATTGAAAGATCCATATATCGTAAGCCGGCATGGAGAATACGGTTCCTACATCCTATTAGATCCAATCATGTACGAAAGGAATCTAATCTAGAGACTGCTTGAAAAAGCAACAAAAATCTGTTTACAGATATAAGTTCCTGAGGAACATACCGGTAAAGAATGAGTATTCGAAAGGGTTGATGAAAATGTGTTGCACGCCACTTCAGAATGTGTACACCAATGTAAATGTGTTTGTGAACATATGTATATTGGACATAACGAAAGATACTTGTCAATTCGAGTTGTTGAGCATAGTCCTAAATGGTTATGAGGTAGGCATGATGGACTTTCTAGACTTTGGTGACACTATGATTGTGCATAAAGCTTTATAGTCATCAGTAAGCAAGATTAGAAGAAAGTGCTCATGTTTGCCTTAAGCTCGTTGCATTCAGTTGAAATAAGGGAAGGGAGCTGTTGTTAGTCTAAAGCTCTCTTGGTGGTATATTCCTCTTTATTTTCATATTTCCTCCTCCTTTTCTTCTCGATGTTTACATTATTATTATTGTCACTACTATAGCATCCTCTCTATTTCTATTCCAAGTTTCTGGGAGAAGTAATCCACTCGACCCCCTTGTGATGCAGCATGTATCGGTTTTAATGGTGCCATTCAACGCCATATTGCATCATGCTTCTAAATTTGGGTCTACTGGTTTCACAAGACCTATGATTAATGGAGAACGGGCTGTATTGTAGTTTTTTAAAATATATTTTATACAGAATACATACTGTCCCGCAAAGTAAAATTTAGTAGTGAAGGTCGCTTGCGGATTTCAAACCTACCGAAGTTATTAATGAAAAAAATCTGTATTTGTTATTTCAAATGGTAATGTTTAACATTACATTACATCATTATTATTATTCCTTTGGGTTCCGAGTGGAACAGCAAATCTCCACTTTCTCCTGTCCTCTGCAGTCCTCTTTAGCTAACCCCACGATTGCCCATAGTCTCTCATCTCTTCGTCATACGATCTCCTCCATTTCACCCTTGGACACCAAACTCGTCGTTTTCCATTCGGGTTCCACTCGAGCGATGGCTTAGCGTGCGATGTCTCTCGATGGTCTCCTTAGCGTGTTTCCAATCCATCTCCGTTTTCTCCGGAATATTTGTTGAGCGATAGGTTCTTAGTTGGTTCGTTTACAGAGTTTCTTGTTGGTAATTCTTTCTGGTCACTTGACCTTCAATATAGAGCGAAGGCAGCTGTTGATAAAATTCTGAAGCTTGTTAGAAATGCTTTTCGTGACTGGCCGAGTTTCTGACCCATATGGAAGAACATTAGTTACAGTAAACAATCAATGGAACATCTTCACAGATTTGTCATTATTCTTTATAGTTGATATCTCGATTTTGCGAATCTCCATACATTACATATTACGATATTTTCTTTGTTAGCCACGTCTCCCGTATATTTTCGTGATACATTTTGCTATTCATTCATATCATTTTTTTTTCAAAGCATTGTAGTGGACATCATTCCATTAATGTTTGATCGAAAGTACTTTAGTCATTTAAAATATATGTGCACTTTCGTAATCATGAAATCACTGGAGTGATTATGTATGCTGGTGCGGAAATCAACATATATATATATATATATATATGCGCACAAAGCTATTTTATAAACCAGATGCATTAAAGGCTGCATTGTTTACAGTTATCGGTAGTTATGGTGAATATTGTAATCAATGTTCTTTTTTCGGTGTATTTGTTTGTCATCATTTGATCAGTAGGTTATAAAATGTACACTGGCGAACATATTGTGTTAAGGTTTTCCAATTTAACTTGTTTTATGTGTGCTGATATATATATATATATATATATATATATATATATACCCAAACTGTGATTTAGGGAACCAGGTTCAAATCTCTCAATTAGCTGATGAGAATCGACTACCCACATTTAGGTATGCTCAACCTAAAATATCACTTTCTTTAGTTGATTCTAGTAGTAGTAGTTTCATTCTTTCTGAATGAAGTAAATGGTTCGCAACATCCGTCGTCGTTAATTTGATTGATCCTTTGTTTTTGTTTTTATATAAACTGACTGAGTTTCAACATAGAACCGATATGCACCGATGTGCAGCAATTCGAGTTGTCACACTTCACACCTTTATGTTAAACTCAGTTAGAAATGATTTCCAAAAGATTGATGCTGAGATTTCTTTCAAAATTGTTAATTTATCAATGCATTCATAAAAGTGAATGTGCAGTTAAAGGGCTTAATCGACCAGAAACATATACCTGTGTAACACCGTAGAATTAACACGTCAAGAAACAACTGATTGTAGCTTCTTTTCATTTAATAGTGATAACCATTTGTTTATGATTATGAAACAGATTAATAGGACATGCATTGGTTAAACTTATGGTAGCTGATATAAACGTAAGGGTAATCACAATGTGATTTTGTTGTAAATTGATCCTTTTCAGAAAGCTCATTGGCGCATTACTTTGACAAAGAAAACATGCTTTCTAACCGTACTCAAAGGGCAGTAAGAGTTGTTAATAACTACTTTAAGGTCTAGATTGCTTGAAAATCATCAAATTGCATTGTGTAGCAACTATCCTAATGTAATGTAATTTGAAAAACGTTTTATTGTGACTATGATTCGTTCTTCGTGTTCTAAGTGGAACATAGGACTTCAGCAGCAAATCTCTGTTGTACTCTATTTTTTTCCATTTTTCACTTGGTCCACTTGGTCACTATCTATAAGCTTTCCTTTACTCTTCCCATAATCTCGTACATGTCATGCTTGATTATCAAGGTTGTTGCTTTACATTAGGCTTCTACTCGAAGCGTCTGCTTTGCGTGCGATGTCACTAAATGTCCCTCCTGCATATATCCAACTCTTCTCCATGTTTTTCAGCCTATTTGGTAAGCAGTCGGTAGTTGGTTGGTTGGTTGCCAGAGTTTGTTTGATATTGTCTACCCTTTCTGACCAGCCATCTGATCTCCAGTATCGAGTGAAGGCTTCTGTTGATGAAAGTCTAACGCGTAGTAATAGATGCAAATAGTTCCTACTGAAATTATTCAAATAGTCATATTAAAACAATGCAATTCAGCTGTTTAGACAGAGTTAGTGTAATTTAACATAATGGAGTTTTGGTACAGTTTAGCATGCTTTTAATCAATGCACGCATGGGAAATCAATGAAGGAGAATAGAACATAGTCATATCAGCAGGTGTAGTGCAATTGGTAGTAAAATGAGAAAGAGGGCCTTATGCAAGATAGCAACACTTAATAGTAATAAGACTGAAACTCAGATGGAAGTGAGTTATTTCCTTATTTCTTTCCCGAATTTGATTGGAAGTTGTATACAGGCTTCCTTTCTATGCTATTGAAGATGTCTGTTTTTATTAGAATAATAACATAAACATTTTAAGTACTCGTTATTAAATGAAATACACTATACATAAGTAAAGTATTTAGACTTCATATCAAACGTTGTTTTTGCAAATATTTTTCAAAATATGTTATCCCTCGGCATATTCCAACTTATCACTCCGTAAATATACATATATATATATATATATATATATATATATATATATAAGCGATTTTCACAGTTTCCTTTATCACGACTTAAGAGCTATTTATGGTGTGTTGTTGGGTGTTTTATCATCACCGTGTGTTGTGCTTGAACAGACTAATTATTAGCCACTACCGTAGTGTGGACGATAATAGTACGTAAGGCGGATGATCAAACCATGACCATCAGTTTGGCTTTATTGTTTTACCTATAAAGCCTTTTGTTCTTATACAAGTTTTCTACCATCCCATTGTTCAATTTCTTCCACAATGTGATGGCAACTAAAATCCAGCTTGCTACTTTGTCCTCTATTCATATCGCAATTAGGGTACAAAAATACAGCGGTAAATAGGTCTTCAGTTGTCGTACCAGTGGTTGGCTTTCATACCTGTGGGACAAAATTGTTTTGCCTTCTTTCAGAGTATTCTAATGTCTGCCTCTCGTTGTCTAAGTAAAGAGATGTTATTGTAGTGGATGTTTCTCTAATTACATTGTATTACTCCTTTTGTTTTACATAATCGCCTGGTAAAAAGATCCTTTCATGCTTTACTTGTGATTTAATTTACGAAAAGCGTGGGCAAATATGGTAACTTTTCCCACATTCCTTGTGTCCCGAGTTGGATGTAGGTTTTGAAGTTTCAGTAGTGGCGGTAATGTTACTACGGGATGAGGTTGCCAGACTTACCTTCGACCTTACTGTCGGGTTAGTAAATTGGGCGATGTTAAAGAGTACACCAGCCGGGAATTGCATCCGGACCACCTGCGTGGTTGGTAACATTATTCCACTCCACCACTGACACACAAATATGGTGATGATGAATACGTCTTATACCAAACAGACCAATGGTAATATGAATTATATAAGATAAAAGACCAGGTCTGACCTTTCCTTTCCGATGAATTTCGCGGAGGGTTCATATGATGTTGACTCGACGTAATCGCTAATCACCATATAATCTATGGGACTAACAAATTTATGTATTTTTGGCAATCTCAGTGACTCAACATCATAACTATTTCATGTTTTCCAGAGTCTCTTGCTTCAGTCAATACGACTGAGAAATACTGTGCTCAGGAAGACTAGTTGTATCACTCAAACAGTGTCCATATTGCTTGCTGCTGCATAATTTACTTATTCTAGTACTACAAAGCAATTGGTTAATGACATAAAAGTGTCTTCTGTTATGTGAGACTGCTATTTTTCCTACTACCTATTGCTTGATTAATAATTATTTTCTAGTTAAGTGGTAAATGTCTGAATATTGGACGTAAATTACTTGTTTAAAGTGTCACTAAGAATTGACTTTTTGCAGAGTACTTAAACACCTGCATATGCATAATTGATAACTATTTTGATATTTGTATACTCATTTTTCTATTCAGAATTCCCTATGTAGTCAATCACTTCGAGAACTTTCCAATCCCGGTGCAAGTGGTTCAATATTCTACATTAGTCAAGATGATGAATTCATCATTAAAACTGTACAACATAAAGAAGGGGAATTTTTACAAAAATTATTACCGGAATATTTTATGAATCTTATGCAACATCCTCGTACTTTATTACCTAAATATTATGGTCTGTATTGTTATCAGGTAAGTAGTAAATATTTACTAATTAATTGACTTCTGATTATTATTTTAATCATCGTTAAAAGTCAACTGACATCATTATTATTTCTTACATTGTAGCAGTTTATCCGTATTAGGTAGCCTCATGTATGAAAATGTTTAAACTAATCTATTTTGTAACCACTAGTGTCAACGAATAGCTGTTTAAATCTTAACGACGAATGTGACTCTTTCCTAAATCACCCGTATTCATTTTCTGAGCATAGGAGAAACTTTTAAACACATCATTCTCAACAGTCACATTCCGCCTTGTAAGTTTGTATTTTAGTAACATTTGACCTTTAAAGAAAGCAGCGTAGCTGGAACTAAAGGTTGGGGGGGGGTGGGGGAGAGGTTGACTTGCTTGCACGAACAGTTTTCACGCTACCCATATCACACTGTCTTAAAGGCTATTTCTCCTCAGGTTTTATATTCTCATTGTCATTTTCAAAAGTCTTTCGCAATCGGTGGTTTATGATAACCAAGACTAAATAGTCTTTTTACAAAAAGGATGGAGTACCTAACACATTGTACACTTCATACCTTTAAATAAACAGAAGAAAAAGCTTGAAGATCGAATGAATTCTTATTTGATTATGGGTTTTTATAGTCATTTCGTGATTCAAGTGTGTTTTTGTTGTAAAGCAACTAGGCAGACATATTATACAGTTTTATTGGGAACAGTTATAAAAGATAATCAAATTGTGAGTGAACTGTTATCAATTCCACTTAAGATTTTCTGTCCTTAAAGTCAGCAGTAATTTTTCCCATGATCAAGGTTTAAAAAAGATAAAACCATAAAATCGATTTGCCAAAATTTACTCTCGCCTGTGAAATATTCATTTTTGTTTGAAATGGTTTCTGGACAGAAGGTATATCTCATAGACCTAGTTTACCGCTCCATTGTTTCACATGACGCCAAAGAGTAAAGACCTGTCGTTAGACGTTCGAGTACTTACGTACTCATATTAGTCTGTCTTTATTGTCATGATACATATAACGTGATATCAAACATTGACAAATATCGATTACAGCGGAGTTAATATCTTAACTAGAATGTGAACTACTTCCCTCCACCATTTTTTCATTGTAAATTAATATAATACTTTATTTTAACAAGCTATTGGTAATATAAAATGTTACACAGCTGTTAAAATAGTTACACGAGCTCACGAATTTCTCCCACACAATATTACATTACTTATTCGTTAAGCACACCGATTAACTGGATTTTAAGCTATTTTTAATTCGCGAAATATACCCATTAAGACATTGAAATAAGAACAAAGTTGTTCAGCGAAGAGTCTCTTTTCGGCGAATTCATTCACTTAGCTGTACAGTCGCAAATATATATACAATTATTTTGTGTGTGTGTGTGTACATTAGGTTTGTCAAAGTCAAAATAACAGTTAGTGTGGGTTGTTGATTATATCATCAAAATAATGAAGAAGTTAACATGTGTGATTAATAATCAAAGTTGTAACTAAGTGGGGTGAAGATTGGTAAGATGTGAGTAGAGTTACATCATCATTATTTTGATGATATAATCAACAACCCACACTAACTGTTATTTTGACTTTGACAAACCTAATGTACACACACACACACAAAATAATTGTATATATATTTGCGACTGTACAGCTAAGTGAATGAATTCGCCGAAAAGAGACTCTTCGCTGAACAACTTTGTTCTTATTTTAAGCTATTTCACGAATATGTACGTAATAATATCTTTTAGTAATACTGATACAGACATTGATATTGCTGGAGAACATAATTAACAATCAGTGATCACTTGTTCGAGTTGAGGTTTGAGCAGTTGAATTTCACTTGATAAATGTCGCTCATCTTTTAGTGCGTGGATCAGTAGGTTGTATAATTTACCCTTCGTGTTTTAAAATTTGTACTTTTCATGTATGTGGGTGTTTTTCAAAGTCCTGCGTATTCCACCTTTGGATAACTTACTGTTTCCCCTTCCTGGTTTGTTTCTTGTCAGGAAAGTATGGGAAAGTAAGGATGTTCCATCCATATGGGATGAAGCCATTATCACCCTCATCTTTAAAAAAGGCTGGCGTAACACACGCAACAACCATAGGGGTATCAGTTTGTTACCATTTGCGTCTAAAATATTGGCTGCTGTTTTGCTTGTCAGGCTGTGCAAAACACATGTGAGGAGTTGATTTACGAAGAGCAGGCTGGGTTTCTTTCAGGCAGTGGGTGCATTGATGATGCGTTGACGTTTCATCAGTTGTTGGGACACTGTTACACGTATTGTAGACAATCAGTCGTTGTGTTTCTTGATATTAAGGCTACTTTTAATTCGGTGGACAGAACTACTCTGCGGAACTGTCTAATAGAGAAAGGTGTACCTGAGAAATTTGTTAACATCCTGAAAGTCGTATTCGAAAGCACGTCAGGTAGATTTACGGCATACAACCAGCTATCATCACTGTTCCCAGGTTTGCCTGATCTCTCTATTTCTCCCTAACTTTGCCATCTATGACATTCTGGAGTCAGCTGTGAAAAACATGCGTGATGGTATAGATCTGCTACCTGGCGGGAGGCTTTCCGACCTCGGATATGCAGACGATATCGTCCTACTTTGCGATAGCACGCAGGCCGCCCAAATCGCACTGTTAGTATAGTATATGTTTTGCTCGGTTTAAGTGCAAAGTACTGTTAGAAGATTGGCAGGAGCTTGTACCTGCACTCACTCTTGCAGGTAAATGATTGAAGTTGCCGGTAACTTCGGGTATCTGGGAAGTTATGTGGCCGCTGGCGGTGTGACGGACGAGATTTCTATCCGTATAGTGAAAACTAAGGTGGCATACGCCAATTTGAGTCACCTCTGGCACCGTCGCAACGTCAGTCTGGCTGTCAAAGGTCAAGCTTACAATACTTCGGTAAGCGCAGTTTTGCTCTACGCCTGTGAAACCTGACCTCTTCGAGGTGAGGATGTGCGGCGACTCTGCGTATTCGACCATCGCTGTCTACGTAGAATTACTTGCGCTCGATAGCATCATCGTGTGAGTGATTTTGAGGTCTGGCGGCGTGTGTTTCGACACAGTGGGTATCACCACTCATTGAATTTCATCATCTGGAAACATCGGCTTCAGTGGCTTGGATATGCTCTAAGAATGTCGTACTTGACTCCCTGGTTGCGGCCCGAGAGATATTTCGAGCTGGTGGCTCAAAATGTTATCGGATATTGCTCAGAATCGCAACTAATGGCGAACGTACTGCAATTTCCTACTCTCTTCTTTTTCTGGAATTAATTCAACGAATGCTGTCTAGTTCTGTTGAATGTAGCTGCTTCCTTCCCAGATGATGTCCTCTATTCATTTTCTCCCTTTTTTCTTCATATATTGTTGTTTAATTGCGTGACGCATCTTCTTGGTGCCTAAATTGTACTAGGTTCTGTGTTTTAAATAGATAATTTTAAATAATAATCATTTATGAGTTTGACCTAGTGACAAGTATCAGAAGTCACAGTTTCTGATTACTGCTTTTGCGGTTATGGAAAAGTGTAGAATTCACTTGTGATACTTCAGGTTTTACGAGTCGATAATTGTTTATTTCCAATTGCTCTAAAGTATGGCAATTCCAACTATTAAACACTTGTGTTTAGCTTTTGTATTGGTGGGAATGTGGCTCACTAGTTGAAGCACTCAATTTGCAGCCAGTAGTGGGTCCCGTTCCACCTACTTCTTTCCGTGCAAGCGGGTAGTATCATCAGCTCTCACACAATAAGAGTGACTCAGAGTCTGAAACATGAAAAGCTTGTTCCGGTTACTGATCTGAAACAAGATCAATAGCTTTTGTATCAGTCATTCTGCTTCATTTGTACTGTGTTAAAGTAAAAGTTTGCGCACTTATCCAGTTGATATCTTTTTTTAATCCTTTAAAATCCTTATATGATACTTTCTACTGGTAAAGTTTGTCACAGAACAAAAGATCTAGCAGTATATTATTAGCTCATTATTTTTACTACCCGATTTCTGCTCAACTGCTTCTTACAACTCAAACACTACAGAATGCATGCATTACGGAAAAGGTTTGATCATTTTTTTTGTCAAGATCACAAGAAGAATTATTGATAAGTATCATAGGTAGAATAATTTAGAAATTAAGTAAATAGCTGAATTATTGTGTTAAAATACCGCCTATTTATAGGATGATTAAATGTAATCCATTATACTGACATACTGTTTCTAATTTAACCCTGATTCTATACACATTTTGACCTACCATTATCTTCACAAGAACATCTGTCCTTTAGTTCCTAGAGGAATATAGGGCTTCAGCCGCACGTCTCCATTGCTTTCGGTTCTCCGCTAACGTTTTCACCTGGCTCCACATCTGCCCACATGCTTTCATCTCCTCTTCGCACGACCTCCTCCATGTCACCCTCACACTGACGACCAACTCTCCACTTCCCATTCGGGTTCCACTCAACAGCCTGGCGTGTGATGTTACTTGATGGTGTAGTTGTCCTATGAATCATCGGTCTTTTTAACACTTAATAATTTACGTACTCACATCATTCCTGACTTATTCTATCTTTCGTTCTTATCAATAACTCCTTGTGGTCTTGATAAAGGATTGTTCAAGTCTTTTTTGGAATACATGTATTCTGTGTTGTTTGTGTTGTAAGCAGTTGAGAAAAATCTGGACAATTAAAATAAAATGAGACGATATTATGCCACTACATTTGTGGTTCTTCCTTTGTTCACGTTTTTGCACTCTTTTATGTAGTTATTACGAATTTTTTGAGTGTATATTCGGTAATCTGAATTAAAATAATAATTTTATTATATTTATGAATTATAAAAAATGTAGTCAGGACATAAAAATATCCGTTTCGTGGTAATGAATAATCTTCTACCATCTTCCGTACGTATTCATGAGAAATATGATTTAAAAGGATCAACTTATGGTCGTCAAGCAAGCGATGCTGAACGTGCTAAAAGCTCACCAACTCTAAAGGATCTTGATTTCCTGTAAGTGTACTTTCAATTCTGCTATGCTTTTGGTGTGTTACTGTCATTTGTTAAGTCGAATTCGTGTATAAAAATTACATATATATGTCCGATTTCTAAAGTACTTCAACGTCTTTTGAATCACTTTCTACTCTTTTCTCTTACTTTGTGTACTACATGGAGTGTGGCAGCTCGACCTGTTGCACATCAGTGTGAAATTCTACGTTGAAACCAATCAATCAGTTCTCTAACGTGGTGTCTAGCTTCTGTTTTCTAGTATTTTAATGAAAAATTAGCGCGACAAAGTTTACAAAAGCAAATATTTCAATTGAGGTTATGTAAATTCTGCAAACACGAATTTTGTCTGGATGACCGTCATTATTTATTCACTCTCTTCGGGGCATCGCAAAATATGTCACTACATTTAGAAGGTAATAGTTACTGGTAAACCTATCATTAGACATGTGGCTTATTGGCTACGGTAGTCAGTTTTCAGCTGATCGGTGACGGATTCGAGTGTTCCTCTACACGGCGTGTGCTACTGATAAGATTTGTCTGTAATATATATATATATATATATATATATATATATATATATATATTGTATAAACATGTTCATCGCTATGAAAACTTCAAATAGCAGGGAGATAGATTTGATGTCAGAGAAAGCGAATGATACAGCGTTGCAGAGATAAATGGAAGACATGAAAGGAACACAAAGAAACACAATATGAAGTCTAGAAGTAACACAACACGGAAGATCTGTACAATGGGTGCGTTGAAGATAAAGTGTACATAATTTCGCCATATAAAGATACCAAATTGCAAATAAACATTCCTTTATTAAGTCTTTCGTCTGCTACCATTACAACTTCAGCGCAGGCAATTGGACACTATCATCAGCATTCACACGACAAGTATGGCGCATAGCTTGGTACTGGAAAAATCTGTTCCAGGTAATTGAGGTAAACAAACAGACCTATCGTGACACGATTGTAACCATCATTAACTCAATTTTGAGTTTCATTACATCTTTGTCTCAATATCCGGCTTTAGCCTATACTTTTTGATAGATTTTCTTACTCATGCAGTTGGTACTAAGATTTCTGATTTATAAAAGGTTCAGTGTGACAGTAAGCCTCAGTGTAATTTAGGTTTAGGAATCATTTGATAGGAAGGCACAGACTTCGGTTTTGTGCTTATTGAGAATCTAGCCAGGTATATATATATATATATATATATATACATATACGCGTAGTCACAAAACTGCCACATACACCAATTGTGCGTATATGGTTAATTCTCGTTTGCTAAACTGTAGCATTTTATGATTTCCACAACTGTAAGGCCAAATTGTATAGCAATAAATTGTGCATTATATGGAAATTATCACATAAATATCCCTTTTGCGTTACCTTTGTCATTAACATTGTGTTGCATACTTCTGATTTCAGTTGATCACAATGTCTTAGATATGATGATATTCTGTGTGATGCAGCTTACTAGTGTCGATGATGATTGACTGTCAATGATTGGGTCACGTGTTTAAATGTAACTCCATCCGCCTTAATTTAAGTATCCAGGTGGCTTTTAAAATAATAAGTCTGGTCTATTGTTGTTGTTGACGCTATTCTCCAAACGGTTACTAAACGACATCATCATACACAATAAATATTTATCATGATAAGGAGTGTTTTCACCAGACAGCATTATAAGGATGTGTCCTGTCCAATTTAATAGGTTGCTTAAAGTGTCGCATCAAAAAATGATAATAATTAGACAAAATTTAGAAATAATCAATGGACCCTTCCCTAATTCATAATTTTTCATGATGTTTCTGTATAAAAATATGTGACTGTAGGTAAAATTTGAAGGTAAACTTGATAATATCGTAGCTCGTTAAGTCAAACCTTTCGTAGATAGTCATAGTGGGCCGTCATACACTAAACTATATAATACCAAAAGTTACATTCATTTACTAGAAAAGAAGACTTTTTCACACTGTGTCCCGATGCTATTAAATGTGAATTGTAACTGTATTAATTGTTTTCAAGCCACTAAAGCTGACACAGAAGTGTAATTTCATTGGTATGGTTAAGTTTAATTGAATGCTAGAAATAAATTTGTTGCATTGCTTATTTTAATTGTGGTAATTTTTTTCTATTGAATGCTTGTTGTGTTATCCACGCCTAGTTGTACATTTGTTATCACTCATGTCTTCTTTCAGAGAAAATCATCCTGACGGTATATGGTTAGAAGCGGAGACTTACGATGCTCTACTAAAAACAATTGAGAGGGATTGCCTTGTAAGTTGTTGGTTTGTTTCACGGCATCTTTTTGTTTTTGCTTTCCTTATGGTATTCCTTGGTAAAAACATGTTATTATGTTAGTGTTTCGGTTTCATCAAAGCTTGATATTGGTTTTTGTATGAACTGACAGACCTTCCGGTTACAAGGCGAGCTCGTAGACCAGTGTGGCACAGTGGATCGTGTGTGAGGACAAAATACTCGCCGATGATAATCGCTAGTCGTTGCGCTATATCGTGAATCGGCAGAAGTTGGAGTTCATGAACTGGCCATTCTATCAGGTCCCAGTGGCTTAATGGTCTATGACCTCGCCATGTACCTGGGAGGTCCTGGTTCGAGCCCAGTGATGTGGGTACATTCTGATGAAGAGTCGCAAACTAGGCTGACGAAACGGCCCTCCGACACTCCCAGGTTTTCCAATGGTTTTTTTAATTGATGTTTGGTTATGATGAAATCCTGTAAACGCCAATATTGTTAATGCCGATTATTCTAGAATGTCCTATATATGTAATTGTAGAGCCGGAAGAGGAAATGATGGAAAAATATTTTTTTTCAAAGTTTATTTTTTCTTCTAATTATCTGAATTAATATTATAGAAGAAGTAAGTGAATCCTACCGAGAGTAGAATAACCCGTGGAAAATGTTGACAAGCCATTGTGAAGGCGTTAATAGGAGAATGCATTTTTTGCAGTAACATCACTTCGACTGCTTTGATGATTAGGACAGTAAATTATTGCAAAGTGAGATTTTATCATCTACTTTATCCAGTACTTTGTATAATTCGCTATATATAATACCAGCCTTCGAATAAAGAAGAACTTAAACTGTGGTAATTAATCGTGACATGGTGAGCGAAACACATTGCTGAAAGCTACATATCATTTCAAAATAGCTAACAGAATTTTGAATTTTCAGATAGTGTTACTTTTTTTTAAAGTGCTAGCTGTTGGTCAGAATGAATATCACTTATTATATGAATAAGCAGTCAACTATAATAGTATTCTTGTACATTGTGCTTAATATTCTTTTAATCGTTTAAAAATCATGTGTTATTCTATCGTATGATTTCCTTCAGCTGAGATTGAATTATCAAGCTGAAGATATGAAATTAAATCAATTGGTTTTCAATCTTTAAGTCATAGTCTCGTTTGATGTTTTGTAGTGACGTATTTTGTATATTGCTTTGTAAAGTGTGCAAATTTGAAGGTGCTTGTTGAAATTTATTGTATCGTGTTATGTATATCACTATTGTAGGCTTAGTGAACGAAATTTCATTATCATTACTGCACGTAAACTTTATTGGTAGTTACTGCAGCCTAAAATATATAATAGATAGTAGATACTTCTGTCGTGTGGATGATCGTACTTTGCTTCAGTATTAAGGCGCAAGTTGTTGACACCCATGTAGTTGCTACACAGAAGAATGTACCTGGGTAAAGGTTATACTATTATCATTCTCTGGGGTTCCGAGTGGAACATACGGACTGCAGCAGCGCATCGCCATTTTACTCTGTTCTCTGCTGTCTGCTTTTAGTTAGCTCCATGAGGGTTCATAAGCTTTCATTTCCTCTTCAACCAATTTCCTCCATTTCACCCTCGGACGCCCAACTCGTCTTTTTTCATTCATTTTCTACTCGAGGGTCTCTCGGGTGACGTCACTCAATGGTCTTCCTGGCGTATGTCCAATCTATCTTCATTTCTTTTTGCATATTTGTTAAGCAATTGGTGCTTGGCTGGTTCGTTGCTAGAGTTCCTTGTTGCTTATCGTTTTAGCCATCTGATCTACAGTATCAAGCGAAGGTAGCTGTTGGAAATGGTTTTGGTGACGTGCCAAGTCTCTGAACTATACGGAAGCATTGACTTGTCATTAGTTTTGAAGATCCGGACATTCTTTATGTTGAGTGCAGTGGATTTACACACTGATTTCAGGAAAGTGAAGGTCTGTGTTGATTTCCCGATCCTTAATTTGACAAAGCACCTCTTCAAGCGATTTATAAATTCGTATACTGCACAATGTATCACATGTTAATGGTTATCTTGATAACTGAGGATGATCAATTAATCACGTGTTTGTTCTTGCAGGTGGCGATAAGCGTCTCATATAACTTTGAGGGTTAGTGGCACTACTGGTTTGTTTAGTCCTTACTAGACTGAGCATGATTCTAACCTTTAACCAGCTGATCGGAAGTTGACTACCTCCGAACTGCTGAATTATTCGTGTCTCTTTTATTTTTGTAGTGTATATTCTAGTATGATTTAAAGATGGTAATTTATTGGGGTCATGTCCACGTGTATGGACTTAAAATTCACATCTCTTGTGTGAGGGTTAGTAACAGCTCCCAACCGATAATACCTTGGTAGATAGAGCGTGCTTTACACCCGTGACCAGTGGTTAAATTCGAGCAACTAGATCAATGGACCACGTCTTCAGTTATTATTTTCTTTTATTTATTCATCAAACTGACCTTCTGATTGTTTTTGTATTTGTTTACTTTTACAGGTGCTTAAATCTTTCCGAATTATGGATTACTCACTGTTGTTAGGTATACATAATTTGGATAAGGCCAAACGTGAACGGGTTAGTGTTTATTTTTTGGAATTTTTTAAAATATATTTTTTGAAAAGTTGTAATATTTACTATATTAGTATTTACTCCTTTTTTGAGTCTCTGTACTCTCCTGCTATATCCTCTGAGATTTTCCTACCTCATGAGAAGAAAAAGAGAAGACTGATCGGGACCATAGTCATTCCTTAGAATTTTGAACATTGTGATTAGATTTCTCTGCCTACGGTGTGATAAGGAGAAGAGTTTCAAACCGTTAAGTCTTTCCTCACATAATACACTGATTATACCAAAAATCATATTGTGTTGCCTTAGTTTGAACCCTCTCTGGAATGTATGAGTCTCCCTTAAGACAAGATTTGGTAGTCTGGATGCTGGATACAGTTTGCCAGTTTTCACCTCACGAGGTATGTACGTAAAAACTGAACATATCACTGGAGATTGAAGGAAACACTGAGTATTGTCCATTATAACTAAAATTTAGATCTGCTACCGCGCGATAGTGTGCGGTAGTTTTTGGTGATGACTTATTATGACACCCTAGGTCCATATAAGTCTGAACTGATGGGAGTATTATTCCCTGTATGTCATATGAGCTGAGGTTCACATATTCAATTTGCATAGTCGAGCACTTCACTATGTTGGTTGGGGGAGGATCCATTCTTTGAACTATTTTTGATGTGGTTGTGTTTTCTGAGCTGGACAGTTAATTTGCAAAGCTTTCAATGCCTTACTAGGCAACATCTTCAGCGCGTACTTCAATTTGAAGTGAGCTTTTAGATTTCTCCGCGAGTTAATCACATCTAATTCTTTGAACCAATTTAACAGTTATTTATCGTGATGTCCATGCAACGTCAACTTGCCGTTATCACTCTTAAACACTAACCAACTTTTTTTATTACCAAAATGCGAGAAACATGCGAATGCTTTGTACAGCTAAACATATAAATACGTTAAATGCTTGGATAGAATTGCTTATCTTTATGATAGTCAAACCAGTCTCCTCTACTTTGACATACAGATTGACTAGGGCATATGTTTTATAAGTATTTTTAATCGTTGTCATTCATTAAGAGATTCATATAAAACAGCACCAAGATACACAACACAGGTGGACCACACGTTGTCTTAATTGATCGCCCAAATTTATCCGTATTCGTGTTTTTTTTATCTTCATCTTTAGAATATCTGATGTTATATGTATTCATTCTTTTGCTTATTCCTCCCTCCCATTGACTTTCACAATGATAATTTAGAGTGGAGTAGAGTGCAGATGATATGATCTAGGTAGTCAGATTCTACTTTGCTTTTACCTCTTTTTTTATTGTATTAGCGTAATGTCTCTGTTTATACGATTGATTATTGAATTTTCTCCTTTATTACTTCGATATTATTATCCAATTGGTTAGATGTGGTCTATGTGAAGCTGGCATATCGTTTACTTTTTTGTAACTATTCATCTTTTTCTCACACACAGCATATGATACTAAGTTGAAATGATTAACAGATAGTTTATGATCTACTCATAGCCTCTTCATTCGGTTCACTACATCATCGGTGTAGGTGTAATCATAAAAACAGTTATTTCTGATTGTATTCTTCTACACAAGCCTTTTATGTATATTGTTCGAACACTGGGGTCATTTCAAGAAAGATGAATGGAATTTCCAGTCTTTCTTGTTAGTAATTCTTCAGGACTGCATTGTCTAGTCCATTTTACCTGAAGGGAATCTTTCAGAACACTTTCAACAAAATCTTCTACATAGTCTTTGTTAGATAGACTCAGTGACGGCTACTTGGCTTTTCCTAAATGTGAATGTACATGTGTCTATGGGAATTCAGTCTTCAAGTGTTGGTCTGAAGTGATTGGATTGTTTTCCATTTGGAATTCGTCACAATCTAACGTCAGTTTGAGCACCATGGAAACCCAGGGAGTTTTAGACAGCGTTGACCTAGTTCGGGACTCCTCAGCAGTAATGATGGGCATTGGATCTCATAACCTTTTAATAACGAGGCGATCACCTCACTGAAAACTTAAAATCTGCTGTTTAAAAATTCTCTCATCTAATCTACCATCAGAAATAAGTTGTGCCTATAGTGTTTTTAGGTTTGCGTTACAAATGGTTGTTTTAAAAATGTTTTCCTATCTCAGTGAAGATAACCAATCTTAACCAAAAGAAAACACTAAATGTCTACGCAATAATTATAGATTATTTTGTCTTCGAATATCTTTTACTTTTACGTTGGCTGGATCATTTTTTTGGCTTTCAGTTGCCTCATAAAATATATTTTCTTGTCCTCCCAACATATAAGACGATACAAATCATCTGATATCACTGGCATCTTTAACTCTCTGAATGATCGAAAAAAATTGCTTCCTATCTCTTTCAGTGATGAATGATGCGATATATCACATTTTTTTCTTCCTTTGTGTTCCGAGTGGGTCACAGGGCTTCATACTGAAATCCTTGAAACTTCAGTAACTGTAGTATTGTTTTAACGGGATGAAGTCCGTTTCCAGACTATCGGACTTTCGGTGATTAAACTAGGTGAGGTTTAGGAGTGCATCGGCCGGAAGTCGAAAACCGGACCTCATAAGCGGTTGGCTATCATTCTAATACTGAAAAACGGACGTACTCGTCATACTGTGCTGTGAATGAAAAATCCAGTGGCTGGATCTTCACAGTTTATTTTACCGTATTTTGTAAGCTACCAACGTTTTCAAGGCGATATTTTCCGTTTACCTCATTATTATACGTATTTCACGTGTGATGTATTAATAGACTGAGCGCCTATCCTTCGCATTTTGCTTTTTTTCATCAACTCATAACTGTCTCAATAAACAAAATTTGGTTAATTTAATTCTTCTTCATCATTATCTTCTTCTTAAGAGATTTTCCATTTATTTTTGTTTATTTTATCTATTTAATCTTCTCTTCCTTGATTTTTCACTTTTCTTCCTACTAAGTTAAGATTTGATTGGTTAAATAGGTCGTCTTTATCGATCTCACAAGAGGGAGAAAAAGCAAGAAGTCTTTCTCAAGCATTATATATATATATATATCATGCAATTATTTCTAGTAAAGCCAAAGGAAATGAAAACAATCAAATTCTCATAAACTACAACAAGTTAAATAATAAAGTTGTGTACTTGAAGACTAAGCAGAAACCAATCTGTAACGCTTTTTCCTATTGCCTCGCCTACGTGATTAGATTAATTCTTGAGTGTGAACTGAGCTTGTAATAGCCTCTATCTCTACTGATTTTCTAAATGTGTTGCATCAAATTAAGTGATAGTTTATTGGGTAGGATCTAATTGAACACAAATCTGATGAGTATGGGAAAATGTTTTTCATCAAAGGCATATCATGTGATATAAAATCTAGAGTTGTCGTTTTTTAGACCTGTTTATTGTGCCCAAATAAGGTATATGTCATGCTATACTTTTTTCTTTTACTTTTTCTTGAAGCAGTTTTTCGACAGTTATCATTCCACTCACTCACTCACTAATGAATAACAATTTGATTGTTGTGTTTTTTGCAGTTATAAATTAGTTTTGTTTAAATTGTTTGACTATATTATATTTTTCTTGTCGCCTAGTCCGAATTTGATCATTGCCGTCATCAGTGTTGGTTAGTTTCTTTTTGACGAAGCCCGAGAAAGTTGAATGTCTTGTTTGAGGGATTAGCTTTTACTCTTTGGTCAATCCTTCAATTGGCTTTTATTATTTTCAGTCTTTCCAAGTGAAATCCCCGTCCATATATGTTGAATTTTCGGCATTTTTCTCTTTTGTTTTTTTTGATATTGGCCTTAAAAAACAATAGAAGTCACAAACCCATCGAAATGTTTTTAAAAAACAATTGTTTGGCGGTTGATTTCTTTTTTACTTAACTATTTAAAAACATATTACTTAGACCATGTCATGTGCTTCTCTGATTAAAAATAAGGGAGTGATGATATATCTAATTGCAATTAGTATTACGTTCTTATAATAGTGGAATATTTCAAATAATCAGTACTTTTTGCGTGTTGCCTAACTCATCCCTTTGATTGGATGCAGTTTTATATAAGAAGAGATTAATGAAAACTTGGTTCAATATTCTTGTGTATAAATAATGTTTTAAGAGTGCGTACCTTACCTCTAGTTATTATTGCTACAATGCAAAATACCAAATCCCGTCATCTTGGAGAGAATAAAAGATGCATTGGATGCAGAACTTCGCCAGCATGGAACAAGCTGGATTCAGGAAAGGCAAATCATGTGCTGATCAAATTGTAACTCTACGCATCATCGTTACAGAGCAAAGCATAGAATGGCAATCAAACCTCTAGCTTAACTTCATTGACTACGAAAAAGCCTTCGACAACGTTGACCGAGAAGTAATTTGAAAACTAACTCAACACCATGGCGTGCAGCACCGCAAGTTTATATCAACCTCATTCAACGGCTGGCTATATGGCAATACCACATATCAGTTGATTCACAACGGAAAACAGCGAGGCTTTCGAAGTGAATACAGGAATAAGACAAGGTTGGCTGCCTATTATCACCGATAATATTCTTAGTTGTAGCGGACTGGAGTATGCGTTGGACTGTCGGAGTTGAGGAGATTGGAATACGCTGGACGAGCTATAAGAAGACTCTAGAAGATCTGGATTTCGCAGATGATATATGTGTAATGTCACACAAACTCGAAGACTTAGAGACATGCAAAAATCAACAAACTGTTTGAAGAGGTATCAAAGACAGAACTGCAAGTGAACATAGAGAAGACTAAGGTGACGAAGATAACCAATGAACAGCAGCAACAACAACCAGCACCAGTCACCATCCACGGGAGAGATTTAACAGAGGTCACCTCCTTCACTTACCTAGGAAGCATCGTTTCAACTACAGTCACTCGGCACGAATGAAGATGTCAAAGCCAGTCAGAATCGGAAATGCAAGATGCGCCTTCATCAATCTGAAACCAGTTTGGAAATCTTCTGCACTCCACAGCATAAAGAACAAGATTCGGATTTTTAACACAAATGTCAAGTCGGCCCTTCTGTACGGGTCAGAAACTTGCACTGCGTGTCAAGAAAAGGGTTTTCAACAGCCTGTTGCGGACTTTCATCAACAGCTGCCTTCTCTGGTTCCATAGTGATGAATTATTAACAAGAAACTCTAGCTGGGAACAAACCAACAAGCAAGAGCCGATCGCTCAACAAATATGTAGGAGGAATGAAGATGGATCGGGCATACATTGAGGAAGTCGTCGAATGACAACGCGCGCCAGGCCATTGCTCGAGTGGAATCTAAATGGGAAGCCACGAGTGGGTCGTCAATGAGAGAGTGACATGGAGGAGATCGTGTCAGGAAGAGATGAGAGAGTTTGAGCAATCGTGGACCCAGCTGAGGAGGATGGCGGAAAATAGAACAAAATGGAGATGTGTTGTTGAAGCCCTATGTTCCACTCGGAACCCAAGGAAACAATAAAATACCAATTTCACCTCCTGCCTTAAATAGGAAGGTATGCAGTTCAATTGTAAAGTGGTCCAACTTTTGCACTTGATGAATGATAGAAGGAATTGTGTTTCCTTTAGTGTGATTACCATACTGCAAAAATATTCATTCAGACATCTATAAAACACAAAATAATCGAGCAAAGAATATTCTTTTCGATAAATTCCTCTTCCAGGCTGTACAATTATATATATGTTTATATACACAGAATATTTTAAATTGGTAGTTAATAACAATATTAGCGTTTTTTAAAATAATATCGATTTGTAAAGTATGGTCAATGCTATTGCAGTTCATTAAAGATGCTTAAATTATAATAATAATAATAATAATAGAGATATAACAGCGAATAGAATATCAACTAAAATTAGGGAAATTTCACAAAAATTCTGGATTATTCAAACCTGGATGGCCAAGGTAATGATAATGACTGGACTAACTTCTTTTGGGTGCATAAATTAGGCTTATTAATATGAATCCCCACAGCCTCAGCAATATTTAGTAGTCGAACTCTTAAGGCAAAATTGAGATTCGTAGGTATGCGGTAAATGACCCTGAAAGCATGATTAACGTCAACCTTGTGTTCTGTCTCCACAAGATGCGCCAGAATAGCGCTGCGAATAGATTTTGTTTGACCTTTGCTTAACCAAGCAGGGTGATGTTCGGAAAAGTGTTAGTTCCCTTCTTATATATCAGTAGTTGTGTATGGATTGATATTCTCATTGGTCGTAGCGATGTTGATTAGTTGTCTTTTTGGGTAAAAAAGCCTCAGCGCTTGATCATGAACTGACTTCAATTAGGGAGCAGTTGAAACCAGGTAGTACTGAACAGTTCTTATATCCTAGTTTCGAACTCTTCATCTGTACGCATCCATTACTCTATTAGGAATCGAACCCGCAACCTTTAGGTAATAAGGTGAACTCGTTGACGATTCAACCATACGCGCCGTTGGATTCAATCCCAGTGGCTGCATAGTCAAATCCCAGCAAACCAACACTTGAATGGCTCAGTGTACTGATCGGTCAGTGTACTGAAGGTGTATTTCAGTGATAAGTTTGTTATAATACACTGGTTGATAGATGGCAATCAAGACTTGTTATTTTAATGACAAGTTATCGAACATTATCTGCAAGTGCTGATCATTCATGATTATTAGCATATGAGACTATGCAGTGAATTTTACAGGATAAAGTATCACGTGTAGGTGTGAATAATCGACGACTTCATACTAAAAATAAATCTTTATACTACAGTACCGTGACATGTTTCAAGTCTGTTCTAAGTGATACCGAAAAATGAAGTGTGCTTAATATTCGGTTGTTTGAATTAAAGCTCAAAAAGAAATAAAGATTATGTATCAATTCACGATCAGTATATTTGTGTATCTGTTGCTACATTTAGTTTGACTGACATATATATATATACTTGCTTTCTTTTCTTCGTTTTTACTAGCTTGCTCAAAAACACGCTTCGGAAAAAAATAACACTGTTAATCAGTATGGTAAGTGATTATTGCTCTATGCACAGCAATTCACTTTGTTATTTATTACGCACTGTATTGTTCATTTGTTATAATTCGTAACTCATGCAACTGTGTAGGTTAATCTGTAGAAGAAGACTTAAATTTATCAAATAATTTTGATTGTATTCGATGGCAGTTGAAGTTGTATAGTTTGTTGTTAGTTTACGAGCCTCTATCCGTTATCTTGTGCCTAATACTTCCAATCATCGTCTCAAAGGTGTCGTATTTTTCGACTAGTTAATTTTATTAATCTAGGTCGAACAACTGTCCACTTTATTTTAGATAGTAGGCATCTGCACCACAACTAGTGGGCTTATTCATCATTCCTAACAAAGTAGCACTGGAAATGATGCCTAAACTGATGTTAGAGTCGATGACTACTGTTCTCAGCATGCTAAGAATCAGCGGTGGGTAACTCAATCTGTTTCGAAAGTACTCAGGTGTATTTGTCTCAGTTTTCTTCTCCCTGACATAAAAAGCTGTTGGCGGCGAAGCACTTACGCCCTCAATTAGATCAAGACACTGAGACCCTATTTAAGCAAGAAACAGGGAAATGAGTATCTTAGATCGGCATCAAGATTCCTCCAAAGGAAGCCTGGCATAGTGTATACAGTTAGCTGCAGACACAGCTGTAAAGGCTGTTATTGACCTAAAACCGAAGTGTAGTAAAAGCCAGTGGATTTCTACCACTTCATCAGAACTGATTAACGCAGAAGACTGATTCTGACGAGCTCCGAACATGATGAGTAGCTTTCGCTACTCAGACGGAAACTAACAAGAAGTCTTCTGGACGACCGTGAACAGTGGTGGACGAAAAAAGCAAAAGGAATGGGAAAGGCATCGGTGATAGGTAACACCAGACAACTATTTAGGCTTATCAGGGAAACAGGTGGTAAAAGGCAAATATGTGCGTCGGTGGCACAGTGGTTAGGACTCTCGCTGACCGTGCACATGGTCCGGGGCTCGGTCCCCTGCCGACGCACACCTGATATCTATGGTCGGCCTGCAAAACTTGGGCTACCGATATCGCATGCTGAAAATTCCATACCTGTACCGAAAAATACAGTGTGGAATCAAGCTGTAATCGAAAAAAAATGATAAGTGAAACAATCTGAGAAAAGTGGAACCATAATTAGCTCCCAGGGTAAACGACTACAACGTTGGAAAGAACACTTCGAGGAGCAATTTAATTGGCCTACAGCCACGCTCAACCTACCGAACATCCAACACCTCCCTGAATGAGATTCAGACACAGGTCCTACATCGTTAACTGAGGTTAGTAAGCCTGTCACTAGTCTGAAACGAGGCAAAGCAGCGGGACCTGACGGAATGAATCCAGAGGTATTTAAGTACGGTGGAGACAGTTTACTGTCCGCGTTAACTAAGGTATTAGGCAGCGTCTGGGAATCAGGGGAAGTTCCGTCGGGTTGGTATAAGTCATTGATTATCCCGATATACAAGAAGGGAGACAAGTCTTCCTGTGATAATCACAGGGTTATTAGCTTGACTAATATGGTATCTAAAGTTCTAGGCTGAATAATCATACGTAGACTAAGCGGTGCTCGGGAGGAACAAACACGAGAGAACCAGACAGGCTTTAGACCAGAAGGGGGTGTATTGACCATATCTTCACCCTCCGACAGATTCTGGAACGCAGGCATACTTATCGGCGTCCAACAATCGTTATATTTCTTGACCTAAAGGTGGCATTCGATTCTGTCGACCGAGAGGTACTATGGCGATGCTTGGCTGTAAAGGGAATGCCGAGAAAATACATTGCACTGATCAAGGCACTCTATTCGAAGTCATGCAGCCAGGTGAGGGCTTACGGCAAGTTGTTATCTGAAGTGGTGAAAACTAGTGGTGTCCGTCAGGGATGCCCTGCTCACTGTCCCCATTTCTATTCAATTTCATCATAGATGTACTAATGGACTTAACCCTAACTCACTTCAGCAACTCAGGGACTGACTTGTTACCAGGGAATAATAGTCTCGTTGACTTAGAATATGTAGATGATATAGTCTTTCTAAGCGAAGACGTTGACAAAATGCAGAGTCTTCTGAATATCTTGAGTAGAAATCTTCGAATGTTCGGCATGCGACTCGCTCGTGCTGTCAAATGTAAGATGATAATGCTACAGGATTGGACTGCTTCTATTCCTAGCTTGATGATAGGGACTGAAGTGGTGTTGACCACTTCACTTATCTGAGAAGTTGCGTCAGCCCCAACAGGCTGATTGTTGACGAAATCTCAGTACGTATAAGAAAGCTTGTGTGACATTTGTCAACCAACTTACATCATCCCTAGCCTAGACCTGAAATCCGGCTATCGGTCAAGGGACGTGTGTACTACTCAGAGGTTCACTCCGTCCTCTTTTTTGGCTGTGAAACATGGCTTTTGAAAGTGGATGACATGAAAAGGCTAGTTTTCTTTGATCGTAGGTGTCTGCGTTCTATCGGCAGTGTTAGGTAGTATAATAGGGTAATATTGAGGTAAGGCGTCGAGTGCTAGGTAGGTAGGGGAATTCAATCGATAAGGTTATGAGGATAAATCTATTGAGGTGGCTGGGTCATGTGTTACTCATGCCTAGCCGACAGTCAATGTTAGCTGACAGGATCAGATTGGAAAAGAGCTAGTGGTGGTCAAAAGAAAACACAGCATCACTTCAATGAAATCCACAACGGTCCGTTTAGGCCGCTTAGGGCGTTGTAGACTCCCTGGTTGGGGTCTTCGGGTTGATAAAAACCAATGGCTGGAGACAATCGATGATATGGCTCAAAATCGTTCTCAGTAGCTGGCGCAGATGCATCCACCCTTTGTGATTTATATTATCCAATAAAATTCTATTGTTTTTCCATCTTACTGTTCTTTTTGCCTCATATCTTTGTTTATTATCTCTCTTTACTCTCTTCTCTTGCTTTATGTGCTACATGGGGTGTGGCAACTGGAGCTGCTGCACATATTTGTAAAGCTTTATGTGAATAATTAAACAGTTGAACCACTGAATCATGAGTAATGAACAGTGGTAGGCGCAAGTAAAACAAGAAATCCACATTTAACGTCAGTCAGTTCATCGCATGCAGCCATACAGTAGTATAATTGGATGCGACAAATGTGACTACGCAAATGATTAACTTCTTAGACTAGAAGAAATGATTGTTAACTCAAACTGTGTCTATTCACTCACTGTGCAATGCTTTCAAAAGTTACAGTTCAGTAAATATTCCAGACGTTTTGAAAGTTCTTTCTTTAAAACATAGAAAGGCGTTGCATTACGAATTTAAGAATAGTGTTTGGTTATTTAGTAGTTATCTTTGATATGACGGTGAAAAGTAGAATACTTTTTAAAACCTTATGCCATTAGTTATACTGATTTACAAATGACTATGGAAGTAATCTTCATTTTCTTCCGCATATAAGTTGAAGTAAATAAATATTCGCTTGTTACACTCAGATTTTAAGCGAATCAAGTCAGACAGAAATCAACTGTATTACATAACGTTATAATATAATGTTTCTTTCTATATCGTTATCTTCAATCCCCATTTAAATAATCTCAGGTGGAGATGATTCTGAAGTATCACCGAGTCCAGCGTCTGGATTAAAGTCTAACGGATTAATTTCTCATGTTAAAAACAAAACTAATGGCAATTCCACGTACATGTCTTCACCATCGAATGGTGGAAATAGTCCATCGTCACCAAATATTCCTCCTAACATGTCTAGTCGTCGAGCTCATTTCACACCGGGTGCTGATGGTGAAAATATTCAAGTTAAGTCTACCAATGATGAGGATAAATCAGTGTTCCAACGAAATGCACCAAAGTCTCATTCTCAAAAACGCGTGGTCGCTTATTGCACTGCTATGGAGTCAATAAAAGCTAGTTCTGAACCTGTTGAATTAGAATCAGAAGAACGTGAACTTATACCGTAAGTTACTTGTTAGCTACGATCCATTTGTAACCTTTTAGTGTAAATTGTTACATGCCTGTTTTGAAAAAACATAAGTATCCAGAAGTATCAGAAAATAATTCTGTACAAGTGGGAATACAAGAGATTATTTATCTTATTTTTTAAAGTCCCAAGTATGACTTCTCTTTCTGTAAACTGCAAACACCTATTCAACTTCATTTAAAATTTAGTGAAAATATTAGGAATCTAATAATATAAAAAAAGGAAATCTAAATCAACACTATAAAACTCTCATTAAGCACTAATCTGTCTATAAAACTCCTAACATGATATGGTATCACATGTACTTTCGTTTACTTATAACTGAAACTCAGTCATTGCAACTGGTGACCAGAGATATGGAAAATAAGTGTGAAGTGTTTGTGACATTGAGGGAGATTAACTGGAGAAGAATGTAAGAGTATACATCGATTTCTTAGGGTGTTAGGGACGGTATATCCTGCTATATTACCTTATCTGAGCGCGCTTGGACATAATGATAATAATAGCGATTTACAAAATATGTTTTTTGATTTTGTTGTTAGTAATAAGGTATTCGGGTTCAGTGTATTTTGGTACTGAGTTGAATACGTTAGATTCTACTCTTAATGGAAAAACTAAGATTGTTAGGCGTCATGCAGAGAAAGCAACCCGATTATATTTTCTGTTTATTTTGGTACTACTTATAAGTAACTGAGTGGTTTCTATAACATTTAGGCGTGGGTATTGACTTTTCTCTAGTTGGTGCTATTTCTCACTCTCAAAAAGGTATTTCTTACACTACTTTCACTACAGCCTTTAATTAGTCATTATAATAGTGTATACTGTTATTTTAATATTGGTTTTATAATGTACAAGCGTTTAAAGCCTTTGTAATTCTGCGAATTTCATTTAATAGAATTGTAGTTTACCACTGATTCATGAATGTTATGAAACGTATCAAAAGGAACCATGATTTATGACAAACAGTGGCCATTAGTTTAGTTTGCAAAAGCACATCCAAATAGTGATGTATTCATAATGATTTCCGTTCACTTATTGACATTGTGGTCTAATCATTTGAATGCTGAAACCATATACATGCAAAACCATTACCTCCGGACTTTTTAATATATTTTCGGCAGTTTTCTAGAGACAACTTCAATTATTTTTTTGATGCGGCCTATTGGTTTAAGTACTTGACTCTGGGACTCATCCTCACTGACTACCAGCTTCGTCTTGTGCAGACTAGTCTCTTATCGAGAGCATAAATATTCAGCGTTCAGTAACATAGCATTGATACTTAATATTATTAGGTTTATAAAACAAAAGAATAATTTCAGTTGCAACAGGATATAAAGTGTCAATGCTCAGAAAAGATTACTTTTTAATACATTGGATGAAATGTGGTGTTTACTAGAGCTATAAATATTTCTAAACATAAGTGCTAATCGATCAAGTGTGAAGCTACATCGATTGAGATGATTAAGACACGTGCTACGCATGCCAAGCTACGACCTTCCTCATAGAGTAATGTTAGCTGACATAAAATAAGGTTGGAAAAGAGTTAGGAGTGATCAGACAGTCATAATTTGGCACCAGTCCAAGACAGTGTTGGTTTGAGCCCTGTACAAAGAGGCGTAGACTGCCTGGCTGATTGAGATCCAAGAAATGCTAAGAACCAATGGTTTAAAACTGTCGGTGATATGGCTCAAAATCATTCTGAACCGTGCAGATGCACTCATTCTTCATGATCTCCCATATGCGTTAAACTCTGATGTTTTTTTCGCGTTAATTATCTTTCCCCCGTACATCTTTGCTCATCAGGGTTAGTTCGAATGTATTTCTCTCTCTGTTTTATCTGGCTTTTTTATGCTAATATAAAGTATGGTAATTTGAGTAGATAAACTTCTGTGCCAAGTTTTACGCTGAAATTTTATCAGCCTTGTAGACCTTAATGCAGGGAATATTTTCAGGAGATCATGAATAGAATTCCCAGTGTGAGATAGATCTTTGAAATATAATCCCCCTGAACTATTATAATTGTCATTTGTGCTTCAATGTGAACACTAATAACTTCTTTTCTACTGTCTGCATTTTTCATCACTTTCTATTGTATTGTGATATCAAGTTTCTTAACCTGTCTTCGAGTTTCACTAACTTTTTTTCTCAATTATGAGTATGTTTTGATACATTTTCAGTCATGGATCAGTGTTCTTTGCATTCTTTATGACTTCGTCTCTCGTTGCATAATAACAATGTAATATTATCTGTCTCAGCAGGCATAACTATATTATTACCATAGTTATGTAACAAAAGAAGTGATAAAGCCCACAATATACATTGTTGGAGTTCGAAATTCTCCGCTCAACGTTTTATCTTCATGTGGTAATGTATCTTGGTCTGATTCCTTAAATTTATTGAAAAGTCCTAATTGACAAAATGTGATAATGAAATTCTCGCCATTTTCCTTTTTTTATCGTGGCAGATGATATGAATTTTTTATTGACACACTAGTGGAAATTATCACTATGAATATGTCTTTGTATAGCGTTTTGAAAAGTACGAGGGATGACTGTCTTTCCCTGAAACTTTTTCAGCAAAACCTTTTTCCTGGGAAAAATTTGTGAAATGTCTATGTTTTTTCAGCACTTTTTTCAACGTGGACGTTTAACATTTCTGCGTTATTGACCTGTAACTTTTACATTTTTATTGAATATGTCATTTCTTTCCCCATGTCAATTTAACTTTCAGATCTGGAGGCATTCCTGCGCGTGATACTAATGGTGATCGCTTGCTACTGTACATCGGTATTATTGACATCCTACAAAGCTATCGTATTCTTAAGAAAATGGAGCATGGATTTAAATCACTTGTGGTTGATGGAGTAAGATAGCTTTTTTTGTTTTCATGTTATAAATTCTGTCACTTACGAATAAGGTGTATTTTCTTGCGAAATTATTTTTAGGCATACGAACGAGAGAAACCCGCTGTACTATACTACTAGAATTCTTGCTTATCTAAAAGCTGAAAATTTCCGTATGTAACCAAAGTCTTAATAAAATCCATTTTGAACTAGTTAGTCCGATTTACCATCTAAAATCTCTAGTCCTGATAGATGAATTAGATTTCCTTCTTGTAGCGTAAAATCCATCAGAATTCAGTTAATTACAAATCACTGAAACCAGTACAAAAGCTTTACTTCTCATGGCACCTGTTCGTGTGATAATGTCTTCATTTTTTTCTCCAGTGTTTTTGTTTCATGTTTTCATGGTCTATTATTGTTGTTTCATCTGTTTATTCATCAAAAAATATGGATGACTTTCGCTAAACAGCACTCGCCGAACTTTGAAACAACTTTCTCCTCAAGTTACTTGACTCTTTTCGGTTAATTATGATTAGGTAGATGTCCATAAGTGCACCCCCCACCCCACTTATCGCCTCTATTTCAATCATGTGTTACATATACTGTTTGAATTGCCTTGATGATATACTTCCCTACGTCAGTCCATGGCTTTGTTATCACTAGACTGTTTCTTCCAATTGCAGTCAATTTTTCTAAATGAAAATAGTCAACAACTGGCACTATTTTATACACAAGTTTGATGAACGTCCTTTTGCATCATTCGTAATCGTGAATTAGTTCATATTATTAGAGGCCAGTGATAGTCGAAGCAGAATAATGTAATACTACTGTTGTGAATATATATTGATGGTGTTCATTCGATCAAGTTGCTCCTGGCCTCTAAATCTTTTATGACTAACAATCAAGAGTAGTTTCCATTCCTTGCGTTCCGACAAGAAGTTTCATTGACAGTGATTGTTGTTTTTACAGGGTGAGGTTGCTAGTCTGATGTCCAATGTTCCCTCTTTTGTTGACTGACTATCGCCTAGTAAGCTAGACGAGATTTGGGAATGCATTGTCTGGTAATGGAATCCCGACTGGCTGCGTGTGGTGAGCATTCTGCTATTGAGCCACTTACTCTCCTGATTTCTACACTTTTACACGAGTATAGTGCTTTGCTTGCGTCTGTGGCACAGCGGTAGAATGCTCGCCAACCACTCCTCAAGTGGTTCGGATTTCGATCCCCAACCACCAACGCACTCCTTTACCTCGCTAAGCCAATAATAAGACTGGTAAAGAGGGAAGGTTGGGTATGAGGCTGACAACCCATCCTGTAAAAATAAACACCACTGTTACTGAAACTCCCACAGCTCTAGCTTGAAACCCTTTGTTCCACTGTGAACGTAAAAGAATAATATAATAAAATAGTGTTTTGCTAACAAAATTACCTCCTTATTGGCTGAATAATATTGTTTTTTTAAGTATGATATATATTACAAGTTAATTGGTGGATAATGACTAGCAGTAGAATCCAGGATGCGCGTTTCGTCCTCTTTGGGAGTCGCCAGCTGGATGTACCTGCATTCCGCAGTGAGTGATGATTTTCCCACTGAGGCTCGAATCAGGTTCCCATAGATCTAAACGCCAAAGCGTTATCCACTAGAAATGATATATATCACATTTAATCTGATGTCTTAAATCATTTTTGTTTCGAATTGGAGTATGCTACTATGTTACCTTTTTGTCCTTCTCTGTTTTTATCTGTTTTCGTCTCATTTTGTTTTTAACATTTTCACTTTAGAAAACCATTTCAGTCACGCATCCATTGTATTATGCTCAACGGTTTCAAGAATTTCTCGGTCGTACGGTATTTAAGCGTATACAGTCGCGTAAGTGATTGATCTTGTATTTATTTTTACCTCTTTTTGAAAAAAACTTATCTAACACATGTATTTTTGTCTGTCTGGTGACTATATTTGTCGAAGAATTTTTTCTTTCTTTCTGAAATCATTTTCATCAGTCATCAACATAATTAGATAAAAAATTCAGCATTATATATATATATATATATATATATATATATAACTAACAATAGTTTCTTGATTACTGTGAACCTAATTCTCATGATGAATTGATTTCTTACAGAGCAGAATTGTAATCATTAGGGAAATTTATCTCTTTATATCATTTTTTTTGTTTTTTTGTCTTTTGTTGTTAAAGCTCAAGGTTTTAAGCAATTAGGCCATTGTGTTGTTTTATCGATGGGTTATTTATTGTTAACTCTAATTCAACTTCACCTTAAGAGTTTAATGTCATATCATAATTTATTTTGCTGCATGCATTCTCAGTAGTAATTGTCATTGAATGGTGGTCATTAGAGAACTACTGCATTAAACGCTAAAACTCTAATGAAAATCATTGGATTGGAAATTATGTCTATCCAGTTTTTTGTTTTAGGTAAAATATACTGCGTAAAGCCTATTGACTGACTGACTACTACTCACTGGAACTAAATGAAGCTGATTTTATACTTCCCTTTTGAATAGTTTCCTGCAAAATGTGTTGTCTATTCATGAACGCATCTAGCTAAATAAAATATAGATATCATTCTGAACTATTAATATTATCTACTTCGAAATATATCTTGATTCGATTGTTAATGATACATCTAAGATCTGTATTCGGTTGTTTGTCTTACACTGTCGATTACCTCTGGAATAATCATTAGGTATATATATAATAGTATAGTAGGACGAATATATTCATCTCTCTTTCTCTCTCTTTGTTGATCACAGTCTTTTTTTCATGAACTTCTCCTGTGTTCCCTCTTCCTCAAAACAGTGCTAATCGAAATAGATTATTGTTTTATAATAAAGTTCTATATTCCTACACTTTTAATAGATTTCGTGTTTCACTTGTAGTTAGTATATGTCACATGTGTTGTATATTTCCGTCCATTTGGCCAATATATCAGATTAGTGTGGTTTGAAAGTCGCAGTGTTTATCGTGTGACCGAATGAAGTTTGAATCCACCCTTCATCGCTTCAAACTGCTTAAAGTAGTCTGCCTTGTATGCATTAGTACTGTCCTTAGTTATGTTTTTTTTGCGTTTTATTGTTTGTTTGTTTCTCAAATATGTTTAGTAGCAGTATTAATTGTGATTAGCTTGGTATCATTAAGTGATATTAAGTTGTCACATTTATAAAGTATGTACTAAAAGAGTGGAATGCAACCACGGTAGTCCGTGTAAACTTACGATTTATTTTTCTTCAATAAGTGGTGATTTCACTTGTCACAGCTTCGTCCTGTAGCCAGCAACTAGCGAGTATCAGGTTAATTTTTAAGACCTAGTTTGTAGGGATTCTTTTAATACTCTGACCAACCATTGATGTCAGTTAGAGGACCACTGAAAACCAAGGCGAAGTGGTGACCTGTGGGCTCCACCCGGTCGGGAGTGAGGACAAGTACTTGCCGATGACATTGGCTGGTGCCAGTCGCTCTAAAATCATGAATAGGTAGAAGTTAGAAGTCATGGGCTAGCCACTGAATCGGGTCCCAGTGGCTGCATAATCTACGAGATTGGTTTGTAACGGGAAGGTCCTGGGTCGTAGCCCAACGGGCGCGTATTGTCGATGGGTTCCAAACCAGGATGAAACGGCTCTCCAGTACTTCGTGGTTTTCAGTGGTTCTCTAACTGATATCTGTCTGTAGCGAAACTTGATATTAAATTGCCGCATTTGGGAAATATGTACTAAAAAGAGTGAAATGTAACCACACTTGTCAATATAAACTTATTATTATTATTCAATTATTGCTTAATTATGAGGAACTGGTATTTACTGTCTGTCACCACTGGCTACAATAAATGCCTTAATGAAGCTAATTGATGAGGGTTCAAGCTGTTATCTAGGGATGGTGAATCCTTTGTTCGTACACTTCGTAGTAACTAATGTCATCCGTCCAGTCTTTCGTTTGTTACAGGCTGAATTCTATCAGTCACGTTTGTAATGTGGCCACCATTCTGAGTAGTTCGCCATTATGGTGCACTTTGAATTGGTGTTAGATGGTTAGAGGCGATTGTCTGGGAGCCTTAGACGTAGGTTTCGTGCTTGTCGGCACTCACCAGTCAGGAAGACGTATCTGCAACGTCAGAGGAACTCATGTACTTTCTGAGATTCGAACCAGGGTCACACAGTGCTGCAGTCAAAGACTTTACCACTGACAGAATTCAATATGCACTAAAAAATCACTGGACACATGACATTAGTTGCCATCTAGTGTTCAATCAAAGTACTAAAGTGCTACAGGAGGTCAATAGCGAATAGCTGGCGACTGCCAACAAGCATGAAATCTAGGTCAAAGGCCACCTGCTGATTGCCTCTAACCATCGGAGAGTGAATTCCTTAGAAATATAATAGGAAGAAATTCAGAAGCCTTTCTCTGTTAATTGTATATGTGGTTATACTTTATGTACACAATAGTATTAATACTTCATCTCTTTTTCTTTCTGTTATTATTATAGTTACTACATGCAAATAACTGCCAAATACTAAAATTAGGATTCTACTTACTACTGATTGGTTTATATCAGTAGTTGCATACCATTCACACCAACCGGTAGTGTTTGATAACTAGATCAAAGTGACCTAAACACCAGATGACCGTTTCTTTCGTTTGCGACTGAGCTCATTAGCGGGGTACCTGGTTTGAATCACTTCAGAGAACTGAATCAGTTGAACTGAATTCTGCTGTTTACGTCACTTCAATCTGGCTAGCAAGCACTACTGATCGATGTGACACGGTGTACAACTCGTGCCAATCAGTAGTAAGTAGGAACCATAGGTTTATGCTTGTTTTCTTAAAAACCATTTGCCTTATTAAGTAAATCATATAATGTGATGAAATTCTGCCTCGAAATGTGTGAATTGCAAATTTGGTTTGCTGAAAATAGAGGGTGAATTTCCCCGAAATTGAGAATAACTTCAATTTAATGTCACCTTCTAGAACTTCACTTTTATGTTATCTGAATGCAACTATCAATGTATTAGGTGCATTGATACCAAAATATCATAAAAGTTCTCACACAGCATGGAGAATCACTAAAAATTAGTCTTAATTGTTTGTTGTGTCTAAATTTAAAAGTGTTGTATCTTTACAAGCTCGTGTGTGGTTTATTTCGGGGCACTGAAGTCTTGTCACACGCGTTTCGGCTTTCAGACAATTCATTCTAGTGAATCACAACGTATTCTACCTGAGCTATAAACCTGCTCTATCTCAGCTTCAATGCTCAGACTTGAAAATGATTTTATCAGTCTCCTTGTGGAATTTTGAAGTCTATAGTGCGTCGGCGGTTCGCGGTAGAATGCTCACTAATCACGCACATGGTCCGGGGTTCAAATCCTGGCTGACTCACTCCTTAACCTCACTTAACCTGTAGTAAACCAGGTAAAGAGGTAAGGTTGGGCGTGAGGCTAGCAACACCACATCGTAAAGAAAAACACTGCTACTGAAACACCAAAGCTGAAGCTTGAAACCCTGTGTACCATCGCAAAGCGAAAGAACAAACATAGGAAACTTATAAGTCTCTTTTCGAGATTTTCAACCTATCCAATTTGTTTTAATGGTGAAAATATTCCTTTTCACACACATACTAACAAACACTTAAACTGTTCTGAATAATAGTCATTGTACCATTGTCATTATGAGTGATCTGTTTTGTCCACATTGGTTTTAAGTAGCTATTTTATAACCATTCATCACACTCAACTGTTTCATTATTACTCTCCTTTCTGCATAAGTTACTTAAAACAGACACCTGCATTTTTCTATCAATGTGTGGGAATTTTTAATTTTCAAATGTTTTACTGATATATAGCTTGAAATGATCTTCAAAAATAAAGCCATTCCAAACAATTTGTAATTGTTTGTTGTACAGCATGCAAACATTTACTTTTGATTGTGCTAATTTAAGCAGATATATATTGGCGTGGTGTGTGAATCTGTTATTATTATTTTTTTATCGTTATATTACCAAAATTAGCTTCTTCTTCTTATATATACGCAAACAAATTCATCTGATGATTCCAAGTCATTGAGCATATATTGATGTTGTCGACTAAAATCACAGGGAATTTGTAGACATTTAGACAAGTCACCTGTTTCTTACTATTTTTGTCATTTTATTTTATTGCTCTACTCGTAAATACGAAGATTTCACCTGTCAACATACCATTTTATATTGATAATGGTATGAAATATTATGAAAAATCTAGCCAGAAAATAATATTTTTCATCTGAATACAACATTATCACTGCAAGTAAATAACAGATGGATAATACAGAGAGTTTGTTGGTCCTATCCCTACCCAACTTGATTTATTTGATGATTTAAAATTTCCAACATTCATAATTTGAACTTTAAAGCTGGGGATATTCAGTCATCTTAACTTTTGAAATCACCAGTTAGATAATATTGCTCATCTCTGGGTACATCAGATTATCGTCGCCGATTGGTAGCATATTTTCTGAGTACTTGTATCCCTGTCCAAATCCATTTGCTTTGGGAGTGCGGGTAGTTATGTTCCATATGGCATTTTGTAATATGCATGCTAATCCACTGTATAATTCACTTATCTGGGCAGCATTGTTTTAACTACAGGCTTTCACGTCTCTGAAATTAGTGTGGAGATCTGTGGAACTCATCACAAGGAAATATGAACCAAATTTCTAACACTTACGACAAGTTCAGAGACTTGGTGCATCAGCTAAAAGATTTCTAACAGTCTTCTGCAGACTTTCATGAATGTCTCACCCGCACTCCGTATTGGAGATCAGAGTGTTAGCGAGAAAGGATAAGGATAACTAGGAGCTCTGCCAGGTGGTGAACTAG